ATGTTATTCATGTAAATTAATTAAAAAATAGTACATTGATTATACTTTAAAAAAGACACAAGATTGACAAATTCATATAATAATTGGGTTTATCTAACATATATCATAAAAAAAGATTAAGAATGCATTAATTGCATATTTTTAAATTTAATTTATATAAAAAACTATAAAAATTAATATTATTTTTAAAGTTAATATATTTTTATCACTAATACGATATATATAATTTTAATTAAATGATTTATAGAGTTAAAGTTTTTTTAAAATAATTTTTTAATATAAATTAATTAAAAAAATATAAATGCACTCTTAATTTAGATTCGAAAGAGAGATACACGGTATAGAAATTATATGATAATTTAAATCTCAGCACAACCCACGTTTTGTGAGCTTTCTATTAATAGTATGTTTCAAAGAAAGGTTCTTTCCCAATTTAGTATGCATCTTACCAATTTGGGCTAAGAGATAAAGTTGGCGAAAAGTTTTCTGCAAGCTGAAACGACCCCCCTAAGCCCAACATAGAGCGGATTAGAAGAGCAATGGACGGGAACGGGATGGCTCGACGGTCCGTCATGACCACGGAACATAACTTAGAACGCTTCAGTACTCTGCATTTCTGGCGTCTAAGCTTAGCAAAAAAAAACCCCTACCACCCGATGATAACTGAATTCGCCGGATTTCCCGCTCTCTTCACCAATACTGCACGCTTCCCTTATCGTTCCCCTGATTTCCTTTCTGCTTTTGCCCTTTTCATTTCAGGTCTCGCTTCCGAGGTGGCCCGCCTCCGTATAGGGCGATTCTCTTCTTGTTTTTTGCGGGTGTGCCATCTCCTTATTTCCATAGGTCATGAGTTTGCTGCATCCTGACATGGAAGCCGGCCCTGAGGAAAGCTTGGAGGTCGATGTTGGCCCCTCCGACCCCTTCAACATCGCCAACACCAAGAATGCGCCTCATGAGACGCTCAAGCGCTGGAGGGTAATTTCTTTCCCCTTCATGTGCATGTGCATCTTGATTTTCTCCTTTCCCCTGCAATGCCATTATGCTTCTGCATTTTCATTTTATTTTAGATTGGTCTCTTATTATGGAAATAAATTTTTGTATGCTGCTGCAATTGGGATGAGTGGGAATTAACGCTGAATGCAAGAAATGGAAGGACATGGCATAATTTTAATGCAAATTTATTAACATCTACCCTGTCTTTCTCCTTGAGGTGGCCTGTTCATTGATAGGGATCCAGTTAACATGCAAAAAGGTAAAAGACTAGATGTTCACTAGAGATTGAGAACAAAAATCAATATTTACCCTTTTGAAAAATATGGAACAAAAGAAAAGGTGTATGCATACATACTAAGTAATCCTACTGCACTTACAAGTAGAACTGGCGACAAAAACCGGGAACTCCCGGAAAAATGAGTTCTCAAACCCCGGGCAAGGTTGCCTATAGCTTGGATGGCTTCAACTGCAACAGCAATGTTCACATCTGTGATAAGCTGCAAGCAGAAATACAGAAAATACCAAAAAGTTCAGCAAATTTAGTCTGCATGAATAGAAAAGAATTTACAATATTGAATATACAGAAAAATAACACAAATTAAGATAGGACACAGGTAGACAGACAACAAAAATAGACAGCACACATATAAAAGACAACATACATGTAAATTTCTTAAACTAGAGCAGCATGGCATTGCCCGACAACATTACGCTGAAACATATCCTATCAAACACTAACAACAGAGAAGACACTACTTAACTATTTTCTACCATAATCCTCCACAAAGAATGCACCTTAAAGTGCTGAAAAGTATCCTATCAAACTCATTGACATTAAAGTCGTATTGCTGGTAAAGAAGACAACCAATTGTTATTTTTTGAGTAACCCGACTATAATAT